ACGGGAAACAGATATTGATTTTCTGGATTTCCTGTTAAACTTCAAGAAGGAAGCATTATTGTAACACAAATCAAAAGATATGTACACTTCCTTTGAACCTCTTGTCCTGTAGCGTACATATTTTTGGTTTCAACAAGAAAAATGTGGATTTAATATCATTTATGACTTTTTTTGGCAATTTATATTATTTAAAACCTCAATTTTAGAAAGGTTCACCATAAGAAATGCCCATCATAACTCGGGGTAGGTACTTTAAGGCAAAAAAAACCCCTTAATACAAGTATATTTTTTTTATTTTGGCCTTTGTTTTTTTGTCAGTTTGACCTACATGTATGAATTTTCTATTGTAGTTTTATTCACTACAAAAGGGTACAACTGAAAACACTAAACTGAAGCATTTTATACCTCACTAACAGTAACACACCAATTTAGAGTTGTTTTGTATGACTGAGTTGCACCAGTTGACCTGAAGTCAGTCAATACAAATGACAGGATTTGCTGATCTTGCAGACCCTTGCAATCTGTTGTTCAATACTTTAAATTTTTCAATATGTTTAATTAGCTTACAATTATGTCAAAATATTCTCCCATTCATTATTAAAGGCCGGTTTACAGAATGTATTATGGTATACCGTTGTCTGTCTGTCCGTTGTCAACATGTCAGACATGAACTCAAAAACGCTTTCGGACAATAACTTAAAAACACTTTAACCAATTTGCAACAAACTTAGGTGAATTGTTTATATATATTGACATGAGCTCCTTTTCGAGTTTTATAAATTTTAGATTTTATGTTTTTGAGTTGTGGGGTTTTATTCATTTCAAAAAGGGGGATTTTCCAGTTTTCGCAAAATAACTCAAAAATGCTTTGAGCAGTTTTCCTTAAACTTTGTTGAATTCATGTGCTCATGGCGCAGCTGTTTATTAATAGAATGTTTTACCACATTTTCTTTTATCTCTTTATATGCAATCAGCAGCTCGGCAGTGAGTTGTTGTTATATTTGAGAGCTTTTCTGATCTTTACGCATACTTCTTGTTTTAAGAAACGTCCTGAATCCAACTTCAAGTAGGGGCATGCTAGGCATACTAATGCATGAATTTCTGTTTTATTTTGGTCCTATAGTTGCGATATTTTGATGATTATAAATAAATACAACAGTGAATCATCACACAACACAGAAACACAAAACTGTTTTGAAAAAATACAAAATTTAAACATTGTACATTTATTGTGTGTACGGTAGTTGGTATTCAAGAAAAAAAACCACTTAATCCAAGCTTTCTACTGTAAAAAACAATAGTTCTGACCATTAAAAAGGTTACTTAGTCTTTAGAAAATTATTCCTTTATGATGCTTTATCAATTGACATTCTATTTAATCATTTAATTTTTAATTTTCAGACAATGCAGATCTTCGTAAAAACACTTACTGGCAAAACGATCACTCTAGAGGTTGAACCATCAGATACTATTGAGAATGTCAAAGCTAAGATCCAAGACAAAGAAGGTATTCCACCAGATCAGCAGAGATTAATCTTCGCAGGAAAACAACTTGAAGATGGAAGGACCCTATCTGACTACAACATTCAGAAGGAATCTACACTCCATCTTGTACTCCGTCTGAGAGGAGGTATGCAGATCTTTGTAAAAACACTAACTGGCAAAACTATAACACTAGAGGTTGAACCTTCAGATACCATTGAGAATGTCAAAGCTAAGATTCAAGACAAAGAAGGTATTCCACCAGATCAGCAGAGATTAATCTTCGCAGGAAAACAACTTGAAGATGGAAGGACCCTGTCCGACTACAACATTCAAAAGGAGTCAACACTCCATCTTGTACTCCGTCTAAGAGGAGGTATGCAGATCTTTGTCAAAACACTAACTGGCAAAACTATAACACTAGAGGTTGAACCATCAGATACTATTGAGAATGTCAAAGCTAAGATTCAAGACAAAGAAGGTATTCCACCAGATCAGCAGAGATTAATCTTCGCAGGAAAACAACTTGAAGATGGAAGGACCCTGTCCGACTACAACATTCAAAAGGAGTCAACACTCCATCTTGTACTCCGTCTTCGAGGAGGTATGCAGATCTTTGTCAAAACACTAACTGGCAAAACTATAACACTAGAGGTTGAACCATCAGATACTATTGAGAATGTCAAAGCCAAGATTCAAGACAAAGAAGGTATTCCACCAGATCAGCAGAGATTAATCTTCGCAGGAAAACAACTTGAAGATGGAAGGACCCTATCCGACTACAACATTCAAAAGGAGTCAACACTCCATCTTGTACTCCGTCTTCGAGGAGGTATGCAGATCTTTGTCAAAACACTAACTGGCAAAACTATAACACTAGAGGTTGAACCATCAGATACTATTGAGAATGTCAAAGCTAAGATTCAAGACAAAGAAGGTATTCCACCAGATCAGCAGAGATTAATCTTCGCAGGAAAACAACTTGAAGATGGAAGGACCCTGTCCGACTACAACATTCAAAAGGAGTCAACACTCCATCTTGTACTCCGACTGAGAGGAGGTATGCAGATCTTTGTCAAAACACTAACTGGCAAAACTATAACACTAGAGGTTGAACCATCAGATACTATTGAGAATGTCAAAGCCAAGATTCAAGACAAAGAAGGTATTCCACCAGATCAGCAGAGATTAATCTTCGCAGGAAAACAACTTGAAGATGGAAGGACCCTGTCTGACTACAACATTCAAAAGGAGTCAACACTCCATCTTGTACTCCGTCTTCGAGGAGGTATGCAGATCTTTGTCAAAACACTAACTGGCAAAACTATAACACTAGAGGTTGAACCATCAGATACTATTGAGAATGTCAAAGCTAAGATTCAAGACAAAGAAGGTATTCCACCAGATCAGCAGAGATTAATCTTCGCAGGAAAACAACTTGAAGATGGAAGGACCCTGTCCGACTACAACATTCAAAAGGAGTCAACACTCCATCTTGTACTCCGACTGAGAGGAGGTATGCAGATCTTTGTCAAAACACTAACTGGCAAAACTATAACACTAGAGGTTGAACCATCAGATACTATTGAGAATGTCAAAGCCAAGATTCAAGACAAAGAAGGTATTCCACCAGATCAGCAGAGATTAATCTTCGCAGGAAAACAACTTGAAGATGGAAGGACCCTGTCTGACTACAACATTCAAAAGGAGTCAACACTCCATCTTGTACTCCGTCTTCGAGGAGGTATGCAGATCTTTGTCAAAACACTAACTGGCAAAACTATAACACTAGAGGTTGAACCATCAGATACTATTGAGAATGTCAAAGCTAAGATTCAAGACAAAGAAGGTATTCCACCAGATCAGCAGAGATTAATCTTCGCAGGAAAACAACTTGAAGATGGAAGGACCCTGTCCGACTACAACATTCAAAAGGAATCCACACTACATCTGGTATTGCGTCTACGTGGTGGAAATTAAACTGAACAAACATTTTACCTTTTAAATGGAACACTTACAGGAAAGAAATTTTTGTGCAATTGATCAATAAAGTTAACTACACTAAACCTAATTGTCATTGATTGCAATTTAAAAATTAGCCTCCCAAAACATTTTTGCCAATAAAGGGTTACTATTTGGTTTGATTTAAAGTTATGAAAGTACCTTTTGTAACGTATATTACATAGAAAATCCTATGATGCTTACAGTCGGTGAATGTGAAAGTTGGATATAATTTTGCATGCTTAACTTCATTGTCTCAAATGTGACCAGGAGAATATATACTACTTGTCCACTGAAAGTAGAGGTAATGAGGCTTTTCCAAATTCCTGTGTTTTGCCTTACCATGACAAAGTTGTGAAAGCATGATGTATTTATGCTGTTGCCCACAAAAAAATATTAGTTTGATTAGTTTTAGAGGAACATCTAATGGTAGATCATTGCTATTTTGATGCAGTTATGCTGGCGTTGGCATATCTTATTGTCCACCGCGCAACACGTTGCGGGGGGACATAGAAATACTGGTCTTGTTACGCTCTCACATGTACAATTCTTGGCTGATTTTTGTAAAACTTATATCATAGGTTTATATCGGCAATGTCTTGGACAAGTTCGAAAATCAGAACTATAAAAACCGCAAAAATATTTTGCGGTCGTATATTGGTATGACGTTGGCGTCGTCGTAGTCATCCAAAGACACATTGGTTTTCGCACTCTAACTTTAGTTTAAGTAAATGGATCTCTATGCAATTTTACCACAAGGTTCAATACCACAAAAGGAAGGTTGGGATTGATTTTGGGGGTTATGGTACCAACAGTTAAGGAATAAGGGGCCAAAAATAAGCATTTTTGTAACTTCAGACATAGCTTGTGTGTTAGTGTATGGATCTCTCTGACATTGTACCACAAGGTTCCATATCACAAAGGGAATGCTCGGATTGATTTTGGGGGTAATTGTCTCGAAAATTTTAGGAATTGGGGGGGCAAAAATCAAGCATTTTTCTAGTTTCATGATAATACCTTGTGTGTAAGTGTATGGATCTTTCTGAAATTGTACTACAAGGTTCCATATCATAAAGGGAAAGCTGGGTTTGAGTTTGGGGGAAATTGCCCTAAACGTTTAGGAATTTGGGGCCCAAAAAACTCATTTTTATACGACCGCAAAAAATTTTTTGTGGTCGTATATTGGTATGACGTTGGCGTCGTCGTCGTCGTCGTCCGAAGACACATTGGTTTTCGCACTCTACCTTTAGTATAAGTGAATGGATCTCTATGAAATTTTACCACAAGGTTCAATACCACAAAAGGAAGGTTGGGATTGATATTGGAGGTTATGGTACCAACAGTAAAGGAATTTGGGGCCAAAAATAAGCATTTTTGTAACTTCCAGACATAACTTGTGTGTTAGTGTATGGATCTCTCTGACATTGTACCACAAGGTTCCATATCACAAAAGGAATGCTGGGATTGATTTTGGGGATAATTGCCTCAAAATTCTAGGAATTAGGGGCCAAAAAAGGGGCAATTCAAGCATTTTTCTAGTTTCATGACAATTACTTGTGTGTAAGTGTATGGATCTTTATGAAATTGTACTACAAGGTTCCATATCACAAAGGGGAAGCTGGCATTGAGTTTGGGGGTAATTGCCGAAACGTTTAGGAATTGGGGGCCAAAAAGGGGCCATAAATAAGCATTTTTCTAGTTTCCAGACAATAACTTGTGTTCAAGTGTATGGATCTCTCTGAAATTGTACTGCAAGGTACCATACCACAAAAGGAAGGCTGGGATTGATGATGGGGGTAATTGCCTCAATATTTTAGGAATTAGGGGCCAAAAAGGGGCAAAAAACAAGCATTTTTCTAGTTCCAGGACAATAACTTGTGTGTAAGTGTATGGATCTTTCTGAAATTGTACTGCAAGGTTCCATATCACAAAGGGAAAGCTGGGTTTGAGTTTGGGGGTAATTGCCCTAAACGTTAGGAATTTGGGCCAAAAAAGGGGCCAAAAAACACATTTTTCTAGTTTCCAGACAATAACTTTGTGTTCAAGTGTATGGATCTCTCTGAAATTGTACTGCAAGGTACCATTCCACAAAGGGAAGGCTGGGATTGAGTTTAGGGGTGATGAATCATAAGGGGTTCAAAAAATTTGGGGTGGGGTGGGGTTTTCCTTTTTTTTTTTCTTTTAAAATTTTCCATTTAAGTTGGTTATTTCTGATTTATATTTAAAAGCAAATAATAATGATATGGTAGGAGATACAAACCAAACAGGATGTGTAAATTATTATATAATAAGTATTGTGCAATAGCAAGAAATTTTCAATTGCGCAGTATTGCACAATAGCAAGAAATCTTCAATTGCACAGTATTGCGCAATAGCAAGAAATCTTCAATTGCACAGTATTGCGCAATAGCAAGAAATATCCAATAGCACAATATTGCGCAATAGCAAGAAATTGTCAATTGTACAGTATTGCGCAATAGCAAGAAATATTTAATTGCACAGTATTGTGCAAAAGAAGATACTTCGTATAAATTGCTTATTTCTTGACCAATTTCAATGGGGTTTTATTCTTGAATTCTTGGAATTCTTTAATATGCTGAATCTAACCGTGTATTTAGATTTTTGGCCCCGTTTTTAAATTGGTCCACATTGAGGTCCAAAGGGTCCAAAATTAAACTTTGTTTGATTTCATCAAAAATTGAATTATTGGGGTTCTTTGATATGCCGAATCTAACCATGTATTTAGATTCTTAATTTTTGGTTCCGTTTTCAAATTGGTCTACATTAAGGTCCAAAGGGTCCAAAATTAAACTTAGTTTGATTTTAACAAAAATTGAATTCTTAGGGTTCTTTGATATGCTGAATCTAAACATGTATTTACATTTTTGATTATGGGCCCAGTTTTCAAGTTGGTCCAAATCGGGGTCCAAAATTAAACTTTGTTTGATTTCAACAATAATTGAATATATGGGGTTCTTTGATATGCTGAATCTAACCATGTATTTAGATTTTTGGGCCCCGTTATTAACTTTGTCCACATTGAGGTCAAAAGGGTCCGAAATTAAACTTTGTTTGATTTCATCAAAAATTGAATTCTTGGGGTTCTTTGATATGCTGAATCTAACCATGTATTAAGATTTTGGATATTGGGCCATAATAGGTAAATGTCCAATTTAAAATTTTTAAGTTCTTAGACCACATTCATTCTGTGTCAGAAACCTATGCTGTGTCAAATATATAATCACAATCCAAATGCAAAGCTGAATCAAGCTTGAATGTTGTGTCCATACTTGCCCCAACTGTTCAGGGTTCGACCTCTGCGGTCGTATCAAGCTGCGCCCTGCGGAGCATTTTATTCTAGTTTACAGACAATAACTTGTGTTCAAGTGTATGGATCTCTCTGAAATTGTACTGCAAGGTACCATACCACAAAGGGAAGGTTGGGATTGAGTTTGGGGGTGATGAATCATAAGGGGGTTCAAAAAATTTGGGGGAGGGATTTTTCTTCCTTTTTTATACGACCGCAAAAAAATTTTTGTGGTATATTGGTAGGACGTTGGTGTCGTCGTCGTCGTCCGAAGACACATTAGTTTTCGCACTCTTAACTTTAGTTTAAGTGAATGGATCTCAATGAAATTTTACCATAATGTTCAATACCACAAAAGGAAGGTGGGGATTGATTTTGGGGGTTATGGTACCAACAGTTCAGGAATTAGGGGCCAAAAATAAGCATTTTTGTAACTTCCAGACATAACTTGTGTGTAAGTGTATGGATCTCTCTGACATTGTACCACAAGGTTCCATATCACAAAGGGAATGCTGGGATTGATTTTGGGGATAATTGCCTCAAAATTCTAGGAATTAGGGGCCAAAAAGGGGCAATAAAACAAGCATTTTTCTAGTTTCATGACAATAACTTGTGTGTAAGTCTATGGATCTCTCTGACATTGTATCACAAGGTTCCATATCACAAAGGGAATGCTGGAATTGATTTTGGGGATAATTGCCTCAAAATTTTAGGAATTAGGGGCCAAAAAGGGGCAAAAAACAAGCATTTTTCTAGTTTCATGACAATAACTTGTGTGTAAGTGTATGGATCTTTATGAAATTGTACTACAAGGTTCCATATCACAAAGGGAAAGCTGGAATTGAGTTTGAGGGTAATTGCCCAAAAAGATAAGGAATAAGGGGCCAAAAATAAGCATTTTTCTAGTTTCCAGCCAACAACTTGTATTCAAGTGTTTGGATCTCTCTGAAATTGTACTGCAAGGTACCATACCACAAAGGGAAGGCTGGGATTGATTTTTGGGGTAATTCCCTCAAAATTTTAGTAATTAGGGGCCATAAAAGGGCAAATAGACAAGCATTTTTCTAGTTCCAGGACAATAACTTGTGTGTAAGTGTATGGATCTTTATGAAATTGTACTGCAAGGTTCCATATCACAAAGGGAAAGCTGGGTTTGAGTTTGGGGGTAATTGCCCTAAACGTTTAGGAATTTGGGGCCAAAAAACAAGCATTTTCTTGTTTCCAGACTAAAACTTGTGTTCAAGTGTATGGATCTCTCTGAAATTGTACTGCAAGGTACCATACCATAAAGGGAAGGCTGGGATTGAGTTTGGGGGTGATGGATCATAAGGGGGTTCAAAAAGTTTTTGGGGGGGGATTTTTTTTTTCCTTTTTTTTTCTTTAAAATTTTCCATTTTAAATTGGTTATTTCTGATTTATATATAAAAGCAAATAATAATGATATGGTTTGAATAGGTAAATTAAAAAATTTTAAGTTCTTAGACCACTTTCATTCTGTGGCAGAAACCTATGCTGTGTCAAATATTTAATTACAATCCAAATTCAGTGCTGAATGAAGCTTGAATGTTGTGTCCATACTTGCCCCAACTGTTCAGGGTTCGACCTCTGCGGTCGTATCAAGCTGCGCCCCAGCGGAGCATTTTATTTTCTTTAAAATTTTCCATTTTAAGTTGGTTATTTCTGATTTATATATAAAAGCAAATAATAATGATATGGTTTGAATAGGTAAATTAAAATTTTAAGTTCTTAGACCACATTCATTCTGTGTCAGAAACCTATGCTGTGTCAAATATTTAATTCAGTGCTGTATCAAGCTTGAATGTTTTGTCCATACTTGCCCCAACTGTTCAAGGTTCGACCTCTGCGGTCGTATCAAGCTGCGCCCAGCGGAGCATTTTATTGAGAGAGTTCTGCCCCTTGGAAACATTAATGATATGGAAAATTGCACCGTTAGCGCTCTCGTGTACAATTCTTGCCAGATTTTTATGAAACTTTTATTGTAGGTTTTTATTAGCGATGTCTTGAACGATTTCAAAACTCGGTGCTGATCAATTATTTTTATACGACCGCAAAAAATTTTTGGGGTCGTGTATTGCTATCATGTCGTCGTCCGAAGACATTTGGTTTCCGGACAATAACTTAAGTTTAAGTGTATGGATCTCTATGAAATTTGACCAAAAGGTTCAATATCACAAAAGGAAGGTGATGGTCCGAACCGTTTAGGAATTAGGTCCCAAAACAAGCATTTTTCTAGTTTCAGGACAATAACTTGTGTATAAGTATTTTGATTGCTCTAAAATTGTACCACAAGGTTCAATACCACAAGTTGAAGGTTGGGATTCAATTTGGGGGTAATTGCCCAAACCGTTCAGGAATTAGGGGCCAAAAAGGGTATAAAACAAGCATTTTTCTAGTTTTCAGACAATAACTTGTGTTTAAGTGTATTGATGTCTCTTAAATTTTTTTATGCCCCCGCCGTAGCGGAGAGGGCATAAAGTTTTACCCTTGTTCGTCCGTACGTCCCAAAGTTGGTTTCCGTTCTCTAACTTTAGTTTGCCTCAACCAAATGTTATGAAACTTATACACAATGCTTATTACCACAGAACACAGATCGAATTGAATTTTGGTGGCGTCACTTTAACTGTTCTAGAGTTATGCCCCCTTTATAAATGGAAAAATTGCAAAATTTTTAGTTTCCGTTCTCTAACTGAAGTTTGCCTCAACCAAATGCTATGAAACTTATACACAATGCTTATTACCTCAAAACTAAGATCAAGTTTGAATTTTGGTGGCGTCATTTTAACCGTTCTAGAGTTATGCCCCTTTATAAATGGAAAAATTTCAAAATTTTTAGTTTTAGTTTCCGTTCTCTAACTTAAGTTTGCCTCAACCAAATATTATGAAACTAATACACAATGCTTATTACCACAAAACAAAGATCAAGTTTGAATTTTGGTGGCGTCACTTTAACCGTTCTAGAGTTATGCCCCTTTATAAATGGAAAAATTGCAAAATTTTTATTTTCTTTTAAATATCAAGTAATTTTTATTCACCCGTCAAAATTTTGACGGGACGTTTTATGGTATACAAATGTCTGTCTGTCCGGCGTAAACATGTCGCACCGTAACTTGAGAACGACTTATTCATATTTGTTTCTTATGATGGTCAAACGATCTGTATACTTTTTGGTGAAAATCAGATTAAAACTTTTTGAGTTACGGGACTTGGTAACTAAAACAGGTGTGTGTTCTTTTTCACATGTCGCGCCGTATCTCAAAAACAATTTATGATTATTGCTTAAAACTTTACACACTTCTTAGTTATATTAATCTTAAGATCTGTATACTTTTTGGTGATGATTCAAAATTTTATTTTTGAGTTATTGAGTATTTTGTAAAAAAAAGGGGGAGGGGTTTTTCACATGTCGCGTCGTATCTCAAAAACGATTTATGATTATGGCTTAAAATTTTACACACTTAGTTATATTAATCTAAAGATCTTTATACTTTTTGGTTTTGATTCAAGATTTTATTTTAGAGATATTGAGTTTTTTGTAAAAAAAAAAGGGGGGGGGGAGGGGGGTTCGCATGTCGCGCCGTATGTCAGAAACTATTTATGATTATTGCATAAAAATTCACACACAAGACGACGGGCGTATCATGCGCTCATGGCGCAGCTGTTTATTAAAATTGGAGTTATCTTCCTTTGTCCAAGATTATAGTTGAATCAACTACAATCAATGCTTTATACAATGCAATGATAATTTTGACTTCCACTGATAAAACACAGATCAAGTTGAATTTGGGTAGTGTCACTTTAACCATTATTGAGTTATGTCCATTTATAAATCGAAAGATTGCAAAAGTTTTAGTTTCCATTCTGTAACTTAAGTTTGCCCCAACCAAACATTATGAAACTTATACACAATATTCATTACCACAAAACTAAGATCAAGTACAATTTTTTTGTTTCTGTTTTCTAACTTTAGTTTGCCTCAACCAAATGTTATGAAACTTATACACAATGCTTATTACTACATAATACAGAAATTAAAGTACGAAATTTGGTGGCGACACTTTTACTATTCTTGAGTTATGTCCCTTTATAAACATAAAAATTGCTGAATTTTTCGTTTCCGTTCTCTAACTTTAGTTTGTCTCAACCAAATATTATTAAACTTATACACAACCGTTCTAGAGTTATGCGTGTTTACAAATAGAAAAATTGCTGAATTTTAAGTTTCTGTTCTCTACTTAAGTTATCCTCAACCAAATGTTATGAGACGTACACACACTGCTTATTACCACAAAACTCAGATCAAGTTCAAATTTGGGTAGCGTCACTTTAACCGTTCTTCAGTTATGTCCCTTTATAACTATATGATATGCAAGCGGGGGCATCATCAGTGCCACATGTGGACACTATTCACATTTATTCCTTCAAGATTTAAGAAATTGTCAATTTAAATTTTCCCAAAAAAAATTGGGGGTCACAATTGCTAATTCTTTGTATATAGTCTGAAAACAGATTTACTAAGTATTGCGCAACAGCACAGTGTATTGCACAAAAGCAAGAAATCTTCAATTGAATATAAATTCAAATCATAAAACCAATTTTAAGTTCTTTGACTACATTTATTCTGTGTCAGAAACCTATAATGTGTCAAATATTTAATTACAATCCAAATTCAGACCTGTATCAAGCTTGAATATTGTGTCCATTTTTGCCCCAACGGTGCAGGGTTGGACCTCTGTGGTCGTGTCAAGCTGCGCTCGGCGCAGCAGTTTATTTAAGGAGTAATGCCCCTTGGAAATATTATTTATATGGAAAGTTGCATCGTTAGCGCTCTCGTGTGTACAATTCTTGCCAAAATTTTATGTAACTTGTATCACAGGTTTATATCAGCAATGTCTTTGACACTTTCAAAAAGAAGTGCTCATCAAGTATTTTTAACGAGTTGTGCCCCTTTAATATAATATTAATTAGGGCCCCGCCATATAGTGATCAGTCTTTCCGTCCGTCCGTAACAGATTGTGTCCGCTCTATATCTAGAGAACCGTTATGATTTCAAACTTTATACTTGACATGTATATTAACCAACACCAGAGGGTGTGTCATAATGTATGTACAACTTCCTAGGTCAAAGGTCAAGGTCTAAAACTTTGGTTTCAGTTGACAACCCCATGTCCTATGGTAAAGATACACATTTTTTAATACGCGTTATTTACAGCGGGGCCCACAGAGATGGCTCCCATCTCAATGATCGGAAATCACATTGAATTTGCTCTGAAGCATTTATTTCTCCAAGATATTTATGAACAATTTAAAGAACAAAAAAGGTGTATTTGTATGCCCCCGTCGTAGCGTAGGGGGCATTAAGTTTTACTGTTGTCCCTCTGCGTCCCGAAATTGGTTTCCGTTCTCTAACTTAAGTTTGCGTCACTTTTACCGTTCTAGAGTTATGCTCCTTTACAAATGGAAATATTGCTGAATTTTTCGTTTCCTTCTCGTTTGCCTCAACCAAATGTTATGAAACTTATACACAATTCTTATTACCACAAAACTCAGATCAAGTATTAAATTTGGGTAGCGTCTTATGCCGTTCTTGAGTTATGTCACTTTATAACGTTATATGCAAGCTTGGGGCATCATCTGTGTCCCATGGACACATTCCACATTTATTTATTTACTGCCCTTGTACTTTGAATAGATAAATTATGTGCAACGTGGGGGACATTAGAACTCAGTTCTTTTTTTCTTCCATGAAGATTATTTGACCCTTCAGTCATGGTCTGATGACTGACAATTTGCATAGTTATGTTCAGGAAGCGAAAGGGACATTGTTATGTTAACTATCTCTTGATTTGAATCCCATTTTCATGCTGTACTGTCTACTGATCAGAAATTAAGTTGAGTAAGATGATCCACAAAATAGAAAGTATTTGGTTAAATGATTCTTTGTAATGTCAATGATTAGCAATCCATCTACACTAAGTAAATGACATGTGACTTGATTAAAAAAAATATATACACGAGACAAAA